GAATTGAACTTTAAATGAATACGAGCCCACTAAAAAAAAAGTTTAAATATAAAAAAATTACTATGAAACTTCAAAATATAAAACTACAAATGAAACAAATGTATATGTTGCAACCAATACATTAAATGCTTGAAAACACAGTTCAAGGATATTCTGCGAAATTAATAATTAAACTCAAAATCATGCGCACTAAATTGGCCCATGTGCTTCGATAAATCCTTAAAAGCTCAAAATTAAAGTCTAAGAATGCTATGTGGGCAAAAAAAGAAATTTAAATTTAAACTTTATCCATCTTGAGAAGCATGAAAGTATTTTAAAATTTGTAGAACTTGCTTTAAAAAACCTAATCTAAATTTATTTAATAGAACATGCTTTCAAGTTACCCAATTCAACCATCATCTTGACAATGGCTGAAGTTGACGAGATTGAGTCCCATATGACTAGTCCAATCCTCCTCAATATTAAGGGTTAACAGGACCGATTACCTAATGCAATTCAAGTGCTAAAATTTGGTTAAAATTATAATTACCTCAATGATGATCATGTTGACCAAAAAAAAAAAAAAAAAAAAAAAAAAATAGAAGAGTTTATTTAAAAAAATCTCTCAAATTATAAAAAAAATAATAAAATAAAATTTATCTTTCAGACTAAAAGAGCAACATTCTGTCACTCTTTGCAATTATTTATTGTGAGTGAAAAATTTTAAACTAATATAAGTTTATAAAAAGCAAAATCACATCGGGCGAACCTCTTGACATAAGTGCAGAGCCCATATCCTCTGTCTGTGTCGGTTTAAGGCCAAATGATATCACAAAATAGCTTGCACAGCAATAGACTTCTAATCGGATGGATCACCTCCAAATGGTCATTAAAATATGGCCACAGTCGGAGCCCATAAGTTCTCTAATAGTTTTAACCCTTGACTTACATATGATACATTTGATAAACAAAAGTTTTTTTTTTTAAATTAAAAGTGAAATTAAATATACCCTTAAGCAAACACCCATCCCAAATCTACGAAGTCTCTTGGAGGACACAATCTATGATTATTGATAATCATCTTTTGGTCACGTTGGGTGGATTACCTCTTCTGACTAGTTAAATTAGAGACCAACAACTACTAGGATGATAGAATCATGGAATCTTTATTGACTTTATCATCATAGTCCCCACCATGAAATTTTAAGTAGAGGTTATAACTTTTCAAAATTCATAACATGACTCATGTTATTATATGTTAAGTCTAAATACTTAACATCATAATAATTAGTTTTAATTAAAAATTTTCTCTTATAAATAGACGGATAATTAGCCAGAGGTGCTTGTGCCTATGGAACAAAAAAGTCCTTATAAAATGAGAGAAAATATCTATAGCTTATTTGATTTCTTAAATTTAATATGACTTCAAAACTTTTGACTCGGAATATCACAAACTTCTTATCAAGAGTTCTGGGTGTGAATTTTTGCAACCCACAAACTCTCTCAGATTCTTTATGCATGCATGACATATTAATTTATTTATGCAAACTCGAGATTACCAACAATATCAATAATAAATGGAATTGATTTTTTATTTATTTACATCATCTGCAATAAAAGTATATAGGATCATGAATACGTTTTTTAGACCCTCTCTCAGATTCTTTAATTTTACCGAAATTTACACACTTAGCACCTAATTTTTATGCATTCATGTATCCAACACCCAAACTCTCATTTCATTTTTACAAAATTAGCACCTTAGCTATGGATGAAAATGTGGATTTCACTGTTAAAAATGGTAAGTTGGATGCTTGGTTTGTTAAAAAGAGAGTGGAAAGTTAGGTGTTTGGTCTGTAAAAATGAGAGTTTCGGTGGAGTTGTGTATATAAATTCCCCTTGGTTTTATTAATTCTTTGATAAAGCCATGTTCTTATTCAAAAGGTGTGTTTTGTGCGATTGTAACCTTCATATAATGTTTATGGCGAGTTCCCTAAAACTAACGTCTAAGACTATTCAAGCGGCATTAAATTTTGAATTAATTATTAGAAAAGGCCCCCTGTATTATCCCGTTCTTCATCACTATGATTCCATTAATTATTCTATTTACTTTTAATACAACGTCAAAGTTTATTTGTCATGTATGTATCTCGAAGCATTTCGAATGATAAATATTTTGGATTTAAATTCAAGATTTTATAGGGCATCAATTATGGCAAGATTATAATCAAACTGACCCAATGAAGCCAAAACTTTTTCGATATGAGTCAGATCAAACCCATATCAATATATTGAAGCATAAGTGGAGGCTTTGGATGGACAATTGAAGGGTCAAATGGATTCCAAATTTGACAAAATTTATAGATAGTCAAATAGAGTGTCTTGTCGAGTTGAATCCAACGAGCCTAAGATCACTTGATTGTGATGCCATTAAGGCATTCAAATGCTTATAAAACAACATCCGATCAAATGGACCTCATTGGGACGTTTAATGGAGTGATTAAGAGTCATGTAGTATTTATAGAGGATGTCACTCACAAAATTTATAAATAAACAACTACTATCTTCATGAAAGCGAACTTAAAACCTAGACCCCGAAGAGAAAACTCAAAAGACCTCAAAGTTCTTAAAAGATCTTAAGCTCCACCACCATCAGATCACCGCTGACCGACCTTCACCATCACAGGAACACCATTGATCGACAACCGCAATCGAACCCTCGCCACCACCGAACCACCATTTTTGCTTCGTGCACACATACCATAGCCCGCTGCCACCATCGTGTTGTTGCTTCTCGATTACCCCCATCGAGCTGTCGCCATCATTAGACCATCGTCCTTGATTCTCGACCACCAACGACTGGCCACTGCCACCATCAGAGCATTGTTGTCTGGTCGCTATTGTCGAGCCACCGCCACCGCCTGGCCACCATCACCTTTTTCCCTATCATTGTCGATCGACCACCAGTTCACCACCACTACCGAACCTTTGCTGCCCGACCACTGACATCGAGTCGATGCCACCAAACAACCACCACTTTCTGTCTACCACCATCTAGTTGCTGCCATCGGCAGACCACCACTGTTCGGTCGCTGAGATAGAGTTGCCACCATTGAACCACCATTGCCCGACCACCATCATCAAGCCGTCGCCACAATTGGACCACTGTTGCTGCTTCTCGACCATCGTCATTTGGTCGCCACTACTAAATACATTATAAACAAATATTCTTACACACGGCCCTTACCATTAGCTTTTCTTCACAACAATAGGTTTACTACCACTTCATCATCATTTTCCATCACTTTCCCAACAGAAGTTATACTCCACTTTTGTAATATTGCTTCAAACTATTTGAGGGTCGGTAATGCTTTGTAACTTATACTACATAGTTGAATCATTTCAACTAGGCGAAGCCCCATATTTTTTGCCCCTATGAATTTCACGTAATAACTCGTGCTGTCTTTCTATCAATTTTTTTTACTTGTCTGTGTGCCTGATCTTTGTACAACTCTAAAAAAGTTAATATATCACTCAACTGTAACGAATTTACGTGCAAACAACACTCTATTTTGTAATGATTCAAAGCCCTCAATGTAAAGACTCGAAACTTGGACTGCAATTGATAGTCACAAAATTTTTCATATCAAGTTCCTGCCACATTGTCCATTTCGAGATTATGAGGACAATTCACCTACTAAAATCTAGTACATATTTCGTTGTCTTAAGCTTTTTTTTTGTACTCATGTACTTTTTTACATTAATATCTTGTTTGCTCAACTTTGATTATATAAATTCAATGAATGGATTTCATGTAAACAAAAATATATATATTACAATCATGGGATACAAATTATAGTATGAGGAATTTACATACACACCACAAATTTCTTATATATTTACAAATCTAACTCCTAAACTTTCATATTTATATTTATAAAATTTAAAATTTAAATATCACATAAAAAATATCATTAGAATTAAATTTGTAAAAGTGAAATATTTCCTTTTCATGAATATCAAGATTTATGACACAAAAATATTAAAAAGTGTAAATATCATTTTTTAGATGTTAGATATATAAAGGGACAAAAATTGTGTGATATGTATGTACATTTTCATAATATTAATTAACATAGATTTTTTAAAGGAAATTGATTGTGATATTATTCTTCTTCAATGTCTCTCAAAAAAAAAAAAGACAATTTTATTTATATATTTGGAGTCTAAAATTAATACTGATAATTATAGAAATAAATTTGACTAAATTATAAAATTTCAAAATTCATGTTAACTTCTAATTAATAACTTTATTAAACTAAACAAAAAATATAATAAATATTAGAAAATTTACATAAAAATCACTATTTCTTATGCATTTATACATCCAACACCTAAAAATTGACACTTATATCTGTAATATATTGGTGCAAAAAATTTGTACATGAGAAGTTATATTTCACGAGAAGCCATTTGAGAAATTTGACTATATATATATATGTACATATAAATATAAATCTTTAGATATTAGATATATAT